CGAATGATAATTATTGATGCAAAATTGTGATATCACACTTCATCACACTATGAAAAATTTCTTATAGTAAATAATAAACTCTTTAATGATCTAAGCATATAACAATTATGAAAACAAAAACCCACATAAAAATTAAATTGCAAGCTGATGAAATAGCTTAAGATGATGTCAACATATCCTGATGAGTGAAATTCGCGTTTATTTTAGCAAATAAATTTTTTACCGTAAAAGTCGACCTACGATCCCACCACAATATGCTTAGACATTTTTTTATTATAAATATATGAACTCTTTTCTTTAGATACTCATTGCAAAAGTTTCCATAGAGTGATGAATAAAAAAAATCGTTTGCAAAAAGTGTTGTACAATAACCTTTTGCGCTTGATACGCAGTATGATCTTTGAGCTCCGTTACTACTCGTAGACCGTTTCATATAAAATGTGTTAGAGGAACACAATTAATAGAAATTAAAGAGATTAAAAAATTATTTATAACAAAATACAAAGAACATGCATATAATATTTCTATTCAATTAACGAATCGATACCTATTTCTAATTTGCACTCCGAAAGGTATTTTGGGAATAATGCATCTTATGACAAATAAAAATATCTATTGCAATCCAATTTTGTTCCTCAGTTTGCTCTTTTTTAATTTACTTGTATTTTTTGTCGTGAACGTGATCAAGAGACTCATACTTGCAACCACATCGTTATAAAATCCTTCTATATGCACACCCTGATATCAAGCAGTAGTGATATCAGTTTTCAATACGGTACCACATATGTTTCCAATTGAAAATATACCATTTAGGGGCATTGCTGCAATAGCACGATTGCAGAAGACAAACATTAGGTTGTCTTCTAATAAACTTCATAGAATAAAATATAAATCTCAATTAATAAAGACAATCTAGACTAATATACCTAAAGGTATATTAAAGCATCGTTCACAACAGCTTATAAAATCATCAATTGTGATTGCTTTTCAAATTAACTTATGTTCATGTTGTATTATTATCACCTTATATTAAATACTATAATTGATAACAAATTCAGAAATTATAATGATTAGAATCGAAACATTTCAATTTCAATTTTTATCAATTATTCAATTAAAAATATATCAATAGAGGCAAAGTTCTTTCGGTACATTACTAATTAAAAAAAATTGATGACCTACATAAAACGTAATTTTTAACAAATATTTAAAAATCAGTAGAATTTTAGATTAATTTTTGTAACTTATTTTAGAAATCTAAGTATCTTAACCCTTTCCACTCAAATGCTGCCGCTCCGGCTACAAAATACATACAAGTTTTGCAATGCGCGAGTGTAAAAGGTTAGAGTTAATTCATTAAAGATCTGCGAATCTTAGTATATAAATCAAAATTGATTTAAATGTTTATCGAAAAGTGTTTCAATATAAAAACATTCCTAAAATGTCTTTCAGTACGTTGTTAACTAGAAAAATAACTGAGTTGATCAAACTCCTCATACAATTTTAAATGACAAATTTAAAAACAAAAGTAAAGATATTTAAAAAAAAGGAAAACTATAATTTAGTTTGAAGAAATGATTGGGATTATTAAAACAAAAATTTAAAGTTAAATTAGTTTTCTATAAATACTAGAAATGAAGCAACTGCATATATTTATGTATGAATACTCAATACTAAATTTGTTTTGATTATTAAAAATTGAAAATAATTAATAATACCTAAATGTCTGAATAAAAATCTGAAGAAATACTATGTAACAATTATTATCATCAAACACGAAGTGCAATTTCCAAAATTGTAACCCACATTTAGCTTATTTTAAATGTCGATAACTAGATAAAAAATATCTCTAAAACTAATATATAGCAATTATTAACACAAAGTACAATTTTCAAAATTCAATAAATGTCAATAATTAGATCAAGTTATAAAAATATGATTAAAATAATATAATATAAATTATGTGATATATGATTATAATATTTATAAGTTATGTGATATTAAAATAACAACGATTCTATTATTTATGTTGTCATATAAAAATAGCAATCCTTAATATTTAAACAAAAACCTTGAAAAATCACGAGCTCATCTCATTAAGATGTCTTCATTAATTTAATTACATTGACGTATAGTTCCTTAATAACTGCCATTTAATTCAGACATAGATACAAATGTCGTATGTGATTATGTCGTTAAAAACGCATGTTTATTCCCATTGTAGGTACATATCTTGACAATCGAACTCTATATTGTAATTTTATTGACATGAATTCAACTTTTTTATCTGTTAATTTGATTGTATTTGTATTTTTGTATTTTTAAACGATTAGTGACATAGACGTTGAAAAAACAAGAAAAAACTCGGAACAAGTGGAATAAGCAATGATATAATGTTAAAAACAAATCACCTAAAAATATAATAGTTATATATGATTAAACGTCTTCTAATTTACAACAAATAAACTTTCATGCATTCAAATCTTAGATAAACTTACTAATAAATGATAGAAAATAATTAGTACTATTGATCTACATTTTCTTCTATTGAATGAATCATGTGTTACGATACAATATTAATGCAATTATTAATGATTGATACATAATAAAAACACAGTTTTTAATTTAAATGACTATGGCGATTACCATCAACGTTTGATTAATAAATAAGATAATATTTATGAATACAAGCAGAAAAAAGAAGGATTAACGGTTAATCTTTATTAAACCAGATGCGAGTATGAAACAGAATTAATCATCTATCATATATTAAAAAAACATCAAATCAGACTTGTGTGAAAAGATAGGAACACAATATTTTCTTTAATGATTACTCAAATTATATCTACTGAAACAACTCTATTTTTGTTTTTAAATTTCCGTATTTCAAAAATTATACAAAAATAATTCTACCCATTCCAATTCACATAAAAAAATGGTTCACATCCAATTCCAATTGGAATCTATAGAATAGTTTTGAAATTTCTTGTAAATGTTCTTGAAAACAAATATATGAAAGACATTATTAAATTTAAAGAAAACAAAGATATTCATCTCAATGTTAAGATTAAGTGGCTGAAACAGTTTTTTTCCACAAAATTTCACAAATCCAAAAAATCCTGTAGAAAAAATTAAGAGAACCCTAACTTTAACCCTATTTTTAATATGTGTGGGGAATGTCTCATTTACTTATTAGAATTAAACAATCCTTTAAGCTCTGCATTTAAAAGGTCGATGCCACGGGAAAAAATGCAACTTGCAAAGAACCTGAAGCAGCATCCAAAATCTTTTAGTTTATCTTTTATTTTTTACTTTTGGGCATTCATTGCAAACTCGTTTACGTTGCAACGAAGATTCATAAATCGTATCTTCAGGGTGATTTATATACTAATCGTAAGAAATATGAAGGAACATTTATGAATCCGAATAATCTACAGTTTTATTCTTATTTGATTTTTGAGTTGAATACTGTAGGTACGAATAATGGATACTGCATTTAATATAATTATTTTTTTAATTACATGTAATAACAGGACTAAATTATTTAATTTAATTTATTTTGTCTATTATATTGTCAGTACATCGGATCTCATTTATCAAAACTTGAAAATCTCATTTATTGTCCGCATCTCAACTAAGTTGATAAATGTTGATTATATAACATATTTTTTAAATTATGTTTACAAAAAAAGTGTTAAAAAATAACATTAACAAATAACAATAATAAGTAAAGGATAAAGAAATTAAAATCAAGAGTTAATGTCATATTTTAAGAAATCATTGGCACTTTTTAATTTTCTTTGCCATTGAAACTTTTGAATATTTATAATGCGAATTTTTTTTCCAAACTTTTGTCATTAGATATATTATATTATTATATACGTGTTTTTCTCTTTGTGTATAAAATATTGTACGTTATATACTACTTGAGTGAATATAATTAAAGTTACAGAAATAAAAGTGGTGCTGCATAGTACCCAGGCAAATTTATATAAACAAGTTTTTTCAACGAATGACTTGATAATTTGACTATTTGAGCTACATGATAACTATTTACAATGAGTGAATATAATTAAAGTTACAGCAATAAAAGTGGTGATGCATACTACCCAGGCAAATTTATACAAACAAGTTTTTCAACGAATGACTTGATAATTTGACTATTTGAGCTACATGAGAACTATTTATAATGAGTGCACCCAGTACGTTTACTTAATTATTTATGTCCCTTTTAATTTAAAAATCTTTTCGCTAAGATTTATGAATGAATTTAAAAATGAATCCCTATTCCAATTGTACTGTTTTGAATAATACATATGAATAATAAAGAAACTCAAACTAACGCAATTAAAAATTAAATTGATTTGAGTGCTTTCAAAGTAAGTTTATTTGTTATATCGATAACCTCATCCTAATTAATTTCTAAATTTGCTCAAAAGTAAAATATCGTATATATAATTTTAACATATGTTCACACCAGCTGTACAAATAATCTATTTAGGTTTAGTTTACTTCATTGCAGCAATAAAATAATTTTACAACACAAGATCTTTAATTAGTTTTGAGAAAATATTTTCATTACATCATCGACCAGTAAACATCATTACGTAAACACAATCCGCATTCAAATTCAATCGTTTCAATTATGAACCAATAAAATTTGATATAGCCTAATAAGCAATAATAATTTTATCTGTGCCTTCAGAAAATTTTAGTTAGTGCTCAGTATAACTATTGAACATAAAAATAACGACTGCAGCACAGGTACCTGAACATGTATGAAAACTTTCTTGCCTTATATCACTTATACCTTCCCCTGAATATCGAATTTATTTAAACAATACATTTAAATACAAATGTGTTTTGAAAATACTATTTAATACACCTTAAATCGTTATATTCATAAACTGAACTTTGAAATTATCAAGTTTTCAAACACTTCTAGTAAAAGAAAGGTTTTATGGTGAATATGATATCGAGAAAACTAAATTTCAACTCACCTCTGCCCAAAAACAAACAATGAGACTTGAACCGGACATCAGGAGCGGATAAAAAGCTGATAATAATGTCTTTGTCCATCCAGGTGATGAATCCTCCTGAAGAGCGAAATCATATGAAATATTGAAATAATTATAAAATATAAACAATTCATTGAATCAATTATTTATCTTGTTACTTACAGGTGTTGTAAAATACGCCCCGCGTATTAAACTGGCAAGAAAAACAACGAAATACAAAAGTTTCTGTGTAGTAACTTTACAAGCTCGAAGAATTGAAGGTGCCTTCATTTTGTGATATTCAGATACCACACAAACAAGCAGTTGAATCATGCTTATGAGGGCCACAAAGAAAAATACTCCACTGATACCTGGAAATATGAAAATAAATTATAATAAAATTAAAATGTACCAACTTATGTGTTTCATGTATGATTATGATTATTTCCTTATCTATGATTATGATACAGCTTTTAAGACCAATTACACAACTATGTGGCACCAATTTTCATTCAATCGGACACTAACAAAATATATAAAGTTAATACTTATTGATATACCGTAAAATAGACCAATGTTACATAGCTGTATTTAGGGCTAGTATGGATTTAACAAGAAGCTTGCATATAAGTGAAATTGCAGGTTGCTTTAACTAAAACTAGCTCTTTATTTGATTTTTTTTTAAATGATTGCATATATGCCTATATAAAATACTTTCTTGTTTACTATTAATATACAGTGACTCACAAAATTGATCAAATGTTTGAAATATTATCAACAAATTGTCCTAATTCTATGTTTTTGTCAATACGAATTTGCAGCTTTATCAGAAAACTTTGTTTATTCTTTATTTAAGGGGGTCTTCCTATGTGATGGGTTGAAAAAAATAGATTTTTTTTCATAAATTGCTCCCTTAACATGTCTAGAATACGGTAGTAAAGCGATTTTAGAAAATTCGAAGTCGTTGTAAAGATACAGCAGGTAAAAGAAAGAGCGGTTCGGAGCGCTGAGTTGGCAGTTGAAACTTTTAAACGCGTTTTTCTCAAAACTGTGTTTTTCAAACTTTCCTCCATTGTATCTCAGAAACGGCTGGACCGAATTACTTGAAACTTCGATTTTTTTATAGCAAAAAACAAAAAAAAAACGCCTAATTTGCAATTTTTAATTCAAATGTCTATCAAAAATCCAATTTTTTTTATATTCATTTGATTATAGGTCATTCCGTGCTTTTAAGCCTACAAATTAAAACGCCGTTTTTTTTTTCAGATAAGCCGATCAGCCGGAATCGTGGAGGAAGTGGGAGCTCTTTTTTTCGAGGCGGGGGTGTTCAGAGCGCTGTAACTCTAGTTTGACTGAATATTTTTAGCTGAAATTTTATATTTATACTGTCCAAATATGTGTTAATAAATGATAAAAAACTTGAAGCCCTAAATATTTACTGGTCGTGGAAAAAAAAAATCCTAAAATATCCGTAAAAAACAGGCCGTCACATAGGAAGACCCCCTTAAAATCCTTAAACTCTTTTCTATCTGTACTTCCATCCCACAAAGAACAATTATTTATTATCTATTATCTATATTACCTGCATGGTAAGGCAGGTTGGGTCCGGCGCACTCGTCGCCAGAGTATCTGATCTCGCACAAGCAGGTGCCATTGTGACATTCACCTCTACCCGAGCAAAAGTCACCGCCGACGCCACTGTCCTCCGCGCATCCCATACCCAACAGTTCTCGTATTGGACGCAGCATAGCTACCCGACTAAACGGTTCGGCGTGAACCTGAAATAATAGACAATTATGAAAAATTGATTGATAAACTCATTAATAGTAAACGATAATTAAATCGATTAACAGTCTTTGGTGCATACATGCACTTCGTTTCACCTGAGTAGAATTGGGATCTATACCGATACTAATTGTTATTGCGCTTGGGTGGAGTGACTAGGGCGGATGCTGAGCACGCCATTATGGAGTGCAAAAATTGGAAAAGGGTAGGCAAGAACTATGGAGGGTCATAGTAAGGTAAAAAATTCCCCTCCCAACCAATGTTATAACATTATTGACAAAAAATGATATATTGTGCGCTATATAATTATATACAATCAAATTAAATAAATTGTAAATATAACTTATAAAATGTATTTGACTAATGTACGTGTATACATAAAAAACATCCTTTAGTAATAATTTAGGGGCCAATTGTGCGGTAACATAGGCGATAGCATAGCGATGTTATGCCAACGCTATCTTATTCTCCTTCCTTGATACTAAAACTGTGAAAATGGTATCTATTTGCATCACAAAAATGCAGTTGTAACATTCTTTCTAGACCTGATGGTGCAGCAAATTGATAGCATTTTCACAGTTTTTAGTACCAAGAAAGAAGAGTAAAAAAGTAGTGTTGCCATAACAAGACTATGTTACAACAGAATTGCCTCTTCAATAATTTGTTTATAATAGGGAAAATACTGACAAAATGGTATACATGGTAAAAATGACACAGTATCTAAAAATTGGCTAGTTTTAGTAATGTGTTCACGAATTTAACATTAAGAAATCCATAGTCACAATCTTGTCAGATGTTGTACGTCATTGTTACAGTTTTGTTGAAGTAAGCAGTTCAAACGTGTTCAAAAGTATATTTTGAAGGTGCTTTTGCTGGGTTTTTTTTAATGACAAGTAAATTTCTTCAATAGTGCTATAATTTTTGTTTCTTTAACCACTAAATGAAAGATTAATTTGCAATAAATGGCGCATTTTACTTTTTTCCAAAAACTGTTTAATTAGTCATTGTCAACATTTAATTTGAAACTGATCACTTTATTGGCAATTGATAAATTCAACTATCTATCACGTAAAACACACAATACTAATTATAGAAGCCAAAACTTGTGTTTGAGAAATTATTCAGTTAGTTAATTAAAATAAGCAAGCTAATTGTATAACAATTAGTGTATACAAAAACCTTTTAAACTGCATTAGTATAAAGTCAAATTAGAAGACAAATGGGTCTTTATACACAATAATGAAGAGCTAACTATTATCACACTTTACTAATGAATATACAATTGATCATTATGAGTCACAATTTGTGACGCAAATATCGGGATTTTGCAGAATCTTTCTTTGTGCAATTTTATATGATTTCAATTCATTCAATCAATTTCAAAATTTATTGAGGTATGTTTTAGATATTTTTTTATTCGAATTCTAATAAACAGATTTATCACATAGATTGTTCAAGCAGTTTAATGTCAAGCAGTAGTGACATCGGTTTTCAGTAGATAGCAATATGATTTCAAGTTAAAAAGCACTAAACCGGCATTGCTGCATAAATAAAAAATCATTATCACTATTACAATAATTGTAATAATAAAAAATATCACATAGAATGGAACAATAAGAGCTAGTAGGACTTCTTAAGTATGATTGGACTAATAAAAATAATGTCAAAAAATATTGAACATAAACAGATTAAATCACCCTGCCATATGTGGTTTATATCAACCACATTACATGGAAATTCAAAAAGATTCAGTGATTACACACAATGAGTATACATTATTGGAATTTTCCAATAAATCAACTGAATAAAAATTGGCTCATTAAAACACATTACCGTCCATAGATATTTAGAAAAGTAGATGTTAACCTAAAATGTGGGAAATCGGCATATTATCATTATAGACATTCCAATCTGTGCATAATTTACCAGAGAAGAACGGCATGTTATCAGCACGTGTATATGGAAATGATAAGAAACATTTGAACAGTGTTATTATTGTAATAATATAACGATAAGAAGATAATAATCTTAACATATGCACAAAGAACCTAATTTTGTTTTAATCACCAAATAAACGTTTTATATTACAGAAAATAAATACAAGCAAATAAACGAAAAACTCAAGATTTCGATGATTGTAAAGTACGTCTCAAATGAGAGATGTTAACAAAAATGTACTTCATAAAAAATGCAAATACCTATAAGGTACAATTTGATTGTATAAAAAATAAAAAATATTTTACACAAATAGTATATTCTTACCCAGTGCTAAAAAATTAATTAGTGG